ATAGAAAAAGACAACGAAAGAGGATTCTTGACAGTCCTGTTACATGTCATGGAGGTGTGTCAGCACACGAACTGATACAAGCTGCAGGAGATCGCAGATTGTGGCGAGGCAAAATCGCCAACACCAGTCGGCAAGGCACCTGATGATGATAATAGACTATTCGTATTCGTATTCGGCCGAATAGTTGGTCCCACTTTTCGTATTCAGCCGCATAGTGAAAATAGCTATTCGGTAAAAGTAAAGTTCCCTTTTCACGCCTTTCGGCGCATCGGGCATATGGGCAGAGCGTCCCATATTTTTACAGACCATCAGCACTCTGTGGGTAATGTGGTCAGCATTACGCCGGCTGTCTTTACTTTCCCAGGACAGCCCATCCTGGTACCCATTTTAGGCTGGGTCGACCTGCGACGTCCCATACCACGACAAAAATCCACGCAGCCTGCAGTGGGTTTCGATCACGGTATGCTGGCTAGCGAGTCGGACTCGCAACGCCTTAGCCTATATGGTACAGCCCTATTTATAATAACAGCTGGTGGCAGAAGCGAAATATTGTTAAAGTCAAAAGAAAAACTACATAGAAAAACAAAAGTATACAATATTTTCAAAAACATGCGAACATTACTGACTTTTTGAGCAGCGGCTCCCAAACAGTTTTCGCCGCGGCACCCATGTCGGGCACACACAAAAATGTTCGAGGGACACCTACCCTTAAAGCGGTACCAATACTTAGGAAAACCAGAAAAAACAGGGCACATTTAATGTTCAGTTATCTTTATTGCGATGAATGAAACTGTTTGGATAATTTTTCATTATTTTCTTTTTTATGTATGGAAAGTTTAGTTAATTTTATCCTAAAATCCCTTGACCCAGAAAGTTTGCTTTAGGTAAGTGTACGCTGAGAATGCACAGCAGCCTTGCCAAAAGCATTGTTTTGTAAGTACGCCTGCATCCAGAACTTTTTTTTGGATTCCTTCATTGATTTCTGTTTTAAACTGTTGTCTTCGCTTATCTCAGGCAGATTTTGAAAAATTTGTTGATTATTGCCGCGGCACCCCTGGCATAGGCTCGTGACAAGCCGGGGTGCCACGGCACCCAGTTTGAGAACCGCTGTTGTAGAGAGATGCTTTTTCTTCTTCTTTTGTCGTCTCAGTGATACCAGGTTGTAGCTCAGTGTCATCTTTTTCTGTATTCGTCGTGAGCTCCTCGGATGTCTTAAGTGATGGATTTGTTCATCTTTCTACAAGTTTCAGTTACACAATTTATCCATTTCATTCTTGGCCTTCCTCCCAGATGTTCTACTGTAAAAAGTCTCATATGCAGTCTGGTCTGGCTGCATTCTCACTAGATGGCTGAACCATTTCATTCTTTCTCAGTCAGTATAATCCAGACATGTTCTTATTTCAACGTTCTCTCTAATGCTGACATTCGTAACCCTGTCTCGTATAGTGTTGTTAGTGACCTTGCGGAGACACCGCGTTTCACATGTAGTTATTTTTTTTTTCTAGCTCACTATTTATTGTCCATGTTTGGCAAATATACCATAAGGTGGGGATAAAGATGCTATAATTTATTTGCTGTTTTGCTGGAAGGAAGACATTTGGGTGTTTAAGCAGTGGGGCTAACTTGTAGGTGACAGTATTTGCCTTCTGTACTCTGGCTTCTATCTCTCTATCTAGTCTGATATCCTCCGCAAATATGATTTCTAGATAATTGAATTCTTGTAATTGTTTGATAGTAACGTTAGTATGAACGTTCATGATATTATGTTCTCTGCCTTTCCTCATTACCTCATTTTTCGCGGTGTTTATTATTATGCCTCACTTTGTGCAGGCTTGATGTAAGGAGTCATGCTGGTGTTGTACATTTTGTTCTTGGTGGTGTATTAAGCATTGATCGTATGCAAAAAGAAATGTATTGATTTCTGCAGTGTCTGTATCTGCCTCCTGTGATATTCTATCCATGTAAGCAATAAATAGCAGTAGTGAGAAGACACACCCCTGTCTGACACCTGATGAGATGGGAAATCAGTCTGTCATTCCTTCCGCTGTTCTTATTGTGAACTGACTATCTTGGTAAAGAGCCAAGATGTTACCCAACAGCAGATCTTGAAAACCATATTCTTCTAGAATTTTTCACAGTTTTCATCTGTTGACTGGATCGAACCCCTTCTCTTGATCTATAAATATAAGGTGTTGACTCCTATCATTAGAGAGATGCAACGCATTTAAAGTAAGAAGTAATATTAACACAACCCTGCTGAATGGCGCTGAGACTTTGACAATAAATAAGTTACTAGAAAGTCTCTGCAGATGTGGATGCATAAAAAAATAGATCGTTCTTCATGAAAACAAAAACTATCAAATAGAATGGTTCCTAAGAGACTCGAAGTTGCTGAAGGACATACAAAGGCGGAAAGTAAAATAGAAAAAAAAAATGCACTAAAAAACATACTGCACTTAGAAGGGAATTATTGAAGGAAAATGTCTTAATGTTGAGCCAGCAAGAGATGAGCTGTTGATTCAAGTAAGAAGATAACACCAGGAGATGAACGAATGGTAGCCTCATTGAGTGTACACCAGAACAAAATGTTGAATGTTGAATTAAGAATCGACATCAAAGCACTCGGGGCACTCCCATAAGCGCTCCGTCCCCATCTTCAGCAGCAAGCGCAGAGTTAAAATTCCGATGGTACCAGCAACAGTCTGATTGCATATCCGTCTCGCCCCTCCCCCGGGTCTCGAGCGTCGGCCAGAACCCCTTGTAACTCCTCGCAGTGCCATTCTCATTAGACCATAATGATCTATCTGTTCCTCGGCACTGTTTACTCGCTCCAAAAGGGCCCTCACAACATCCAGCTTGTCATATATCAGTTTACCACCAAGTGGTGCATAACCGGCCAGTCTATCGGCCTGCTCATTTCCCAACAAACCGTCGTGACCTGGAGAAAATATCCAAAGGATGCTAACTACCCGGGACCTCTAAAGTGATGCTTGCCACTTTGCATGGAGCATGTCTGTCTCCAGCTTTCTCAGCATGCTCTGTAAGTCAGTTACAATGACGACATGTGTGTACAGCTGATTCTCAAGCCAACGGAAGGCAGCAGTGACTGCCTCCACCTCCATTCTAAAATTAGATGTAGTAATATCATATGCCAATCTTTGTTGAACTAAGCGACGTCCATTCGCCTTCGCTATGAACCCCCGCACACTTCGCCTGTCCCTCAACACAGAGCCATCTGCATATACAATCACATCACTTGGGCGGGAATTGTCATGAATCATTTGTTGAACTTCTGATTCTGCAACACCAGCTGGCCAATGCCTGCACTCACGTCCCAAAGTGATTAGAACCCTACACTTGCATATCCGTCTCGCCCCTCCCCCCGAGTCTCGAGCGTCGGCCAGATCCCCTTGTAACTCCTCGCAGTGCTATTCTCATCAGACCGTAATTATCTATCTGTTTCTCGGCACTGTTCGTTCGCTCCCAAAGGGCCCTCACAACATCCAGGACAAGAGACAAGGTATATTGAAGATCCATTGAAGCCAGCCTGATTGATTGAGCCAGTCAGCTGGCCAATCAATAAACTCAAGCAAATTTGTATATTATTGTACATACTCCTGAGCTTGTATCAAGGTGCTCTCGACATGGAGGTTACGGCCATCAAATCTCGCCGCTGCCATGAGTCCGTAGATCTCTCGAGAAACACTTTGTCTATCTAATTGGCACCAATTTACCTAGGCAACTTGACATCGAAACGAGTTTTATCTCACATCTTGGAGTTACCTCTCTTGTCTGGCCAGTATATATTCGCGGTGGCTACATGTGTGTCCAGAATTCTACTGGCCAGACAGAAATGGGACTCTTCTACGAGATACGCCTGGCCAAATCAGAGAGAGAGAGAGAGATGACACCAAGAGGAGACACCAGATAAGAAAAGGAAAGAAACGAACAGATAACAACGGTGCAGGACGAGCGGTCGGAACCGGTTGGAAGCATCAAGCCCAGAAATGGCGCAATACTAGAATTTAGTCATGAAAGTGACACAATAATCCAGACCACAAATATAGGCGGAGACTGTTAGCAGCCTCGGCTAGCTAGCAGCCGTCTGAAAGTGGTCGACCTTTTCATTTTTTTTTCTCAAAAGGACTTGGACTTGGACTAGAAATGGGACTTCTATCGGAGATATCTCAGATACGTAATTTTGTGTAATCTAGTTTGTACTTGTGGTACTGTAGATTTATGCGTGTGCTGCCAAAAACGTTAACTTGTAGTTTGTGATTTTGTGAACATGATTTTGTTTATGACTTTATGAATAAATAAATAAACAAAGTACCCACCTGTACGAGACATCTCCTCTTGATAAATGCTATTAGTCCGGCTGGACATTTCCAGCGACATCCGGCAGTTTTCTTTTTTGAAACTTGTAGCGATCATCAACGGGGTCATGCCATTGTCGTTAGTTACATCAAGGGAAGCCCCGTGAGCAGCCAGTATTGCACAGATAACATGATGCCCCTCTCGTGTGCTTTCGTGAAGAGGAGTGCACCCGTCATGTGTCCGTGCATTGACAAATGCGTCGTGTTCTAGCAGCATTCTCACAATTTTATCATGGCCACTGAAGGCACTCAGATGCAAGGGGGTAATGGAAAAGCGATCTTTGACATTTACAGTGGCGCCATTTTCCAGGAGAAGTTTAACAACTTGCAAGTGACCATGAGCTGAGCCCAAATGAAGCGGGGTACGATCTTTATCATCGATTGAATCAGTAAACGCTTTCTTTTCCAAAAGTTTCTTAAGAACAATAGCGTGACCATTTTCTGCGGCTAGATGTAGTGGGGATTTTCCGCCTTTGTCTTTGCTTTCAACTAAAGCTCCTTTGTTTAACAGTATTTCAACGATTGGGACATAACCTTTGCTTGCAGCAGTGTGAAGCGATGTCATCCCCGCACCATCGGCAGCATTCACTTCAGCACCATTGTCGAGTATTAGTTCAGTTAATGTGCTTAGACCCTTAACAACACTAAGAATTAAAGGTGTGCGACCACGTACATCAGAGACATTAACCTTAGCGCCGTTAGAGATTAAGCTGCGTACCGTCTTCTCATTCCCCATCATAACGTTCATGTGTAGCAACGTCTGCCCAGCCCGAGTGCAGACATTTACAGAAGCTCTGGCGTCCATCAGTAAATTAACAACATGATTATGGCCCTTACTGGCTGCTAGCAGAATTGGGGTCATTCGATCTCTGTCTCTGAGCTCTAACAGAGCCCCATTATTCACTAGGAGTTCTGCCATTTCAGCTTGGCCACTGCTAGCACATATATGTAGAGGAGAGTAGTCATTATTGTCTGTTGCATTGACATTACACCTTTGAGCTATCAGCTTTTTGGCTTTATCAGTATCTCTTTTATGCACGCAGGTATGCAGCGGTGTCCAACCATTTGAATCTCTTTCATGTACATTCACTTCCAAGTTTAACAAATACGTGAAAATACTATTGCTGCCCGCAAGGATAGAGGCATTTAAAGGCGTCTGTCCGTTTTTGTCTCGGCCGTTGATATCAGGGATTTTGTTAATCAGCTTGTGGAATTTATTTTGGTCTCCTTTCAAGATGCATTTAACCAGATCTGCAGTTTGTTTCTTTCTCTTAACTTTTTGAAACACTGTAGTATAAGCTGTCATTATTGAATTCTCTGAGGGCATTCTGTGGACATTTGGACATTATAGATTGTTTGCATTGCAATACTACTTGCATGTTAATTCCAAATAAATTAAGTAATTTTGGTTTCAATAGGTTAAAAATTGGGCCCGCCAACTTGTCTTTAATTTTGATATTTTGACTTCACTAAGTGTATGTATGATTTCATTGAAACATTTTAAATATATAATCATAAACAATAATAACAGCAACAACAATAATAGTAACGACAACATATTATTTAGGAAACTGGAACGTACTCGAATAATGCGAATGATTAGTACACAAATATAATAATATCTTATGCAGTAAATCGCTCTCATGGGAAGTTAGTTAGTAAAAGAATTATCGAAAGCTATTTAGCGCCAGTTTTAACATATGGCTGTGAATTCTATAATAAATTTTTTAACGAGCCAAACAATTTCTTGAGGCCTCCGAGATGTGATTTTACCGAAGAACGTTAAAAATGCCTTGGACAGCTACCATGAGCAACCCAGATGTTTTGAAAGCGGCCATGACTGCCGGAATTGGCTGTAGGGCTGGTCGTGATGTTGACATATCTACCGCTTAGTGCATACTGGTCTATAGAAATGCGGGTAAAAAGGGTATATTTTATGATATACTTGTCTTATTATTTGCTCTAGTGGTAGTCCTGTTCACAAACAAAATAGTCTATAGTCTAGTCTATAATAGATACAACATGAAAACTTACTTACATAGTTAGTTTTTACTAGATTCCTTTGTTAAACATTTGCTGCAAGTGTGTCCACAGGGTACCTAGCAGAGACGTCATTGTGTCATATAGCAGAACTTCTTGATAGCAAAATGTATTTGGATATCTACACCCACAGACTTTCTTGTTCTTTCTTGAAATATATGTATATATACATATACACACATACACACACTAACGACTGAAGATGTACGACGACGAAGTGAGTTACAAACGACGTTCGTAATTCCAAAATGCTCGATACGATTCAGCTGCAGGTATGTGTTCTGGCTGCAGACCGTCAACTGCTGATTACGACAATAGTACGGAACGTCGACCAATCAGAGACAAAAACTACTGAACCTACATATCGGCTAGTAAAATCGCAAACAGCCAAAAAATGCAGGGGTTGGTTCTACAACGCCCTGTAGTGTACACAACGCTACTTACATCTAGGTATGATAAAAATGCATTATGTGTGTGCGTCTAAATACACAATCGTGTCCTACGAGATTAGATTTAGTTTATCAAATGGTCGGCTGAAACCAGGCTAAACATTGGCAACTTTGCATAACATTATCTCATATTTTGCAGCAAGTGTTTTTCTCAAGTCAAGGGGCGCCGCAACCCATGGATTTAAGTGTCTCCCCAAGCATGAACATGGTAAGTGGAAGGGGCCTGAGTGCGTAAGACAAGGTTGCGAGTCCCTACACACGTAAAGACTTCCCCCCTCTCTTCCTCTCTCTTCCTCTCTCTTCTTCTCTCTCCCTCCTTCCTCCTCTTTCCATCTCTCTGTCCTCTCTCCCCACCTTCGATTGATTCCTAGGTAGACCCAGCCTTTAATGGGTACCAGGTGTAGTCATGTGAAGTAAAGGCGACCGACGTGATGCTGACCACATCACGCATCTTGTGCCGATTGGTCAATAAAATATAGGTCTAGCCCTATACGCCCAATACATCTGAAAGCGCGGGAAAGGGTCCGTTACTTTGACATTGCTGGTGTTATTGTTGTTATGTATATTGGTATAATTATGTGTCGGCTCTGTGGCTAAGTCGATGCGAACGCTTCGTAATGCCGAGATGCCGGGTTCGATCCCAGCTGCGGGCCATGGGCCTTGCGTTGGTTTCGACAGTGGTATCAAGAAAGCTGACCGTCCAGGAAGCAATGGCAAACTACTGGACGTAAATTTGTCTAGAAAACAACGTCCTGTAAAGGATACCCAACTAACTATAATTATGTACTTAAAGCTAAGGCTTTTGAGTTCCCTCTCCCTTCATTGCTGCCCTCTTCTCCCAAATGTTTTGCTTGCTGAAGAAAACAAATTCATCACGTTCAATCAGCATCCTAGAAGCGGGGAGATTTAGGTTATAATTGTGACTAGGTTATGTGTGCCATATAAAATAGCTTAGCATTGCACGCTACCATAAGCCCCGAAAAGAACTCCTGCAGGGTTGATGCGATCAAAGGAGACAGACCCAAATACTGTCCTGACCGGCGACGATGTCGTCTACCCCCTAACCAATGAGCCACCCGGTCGCCGAAGTTGTTTGGGACTGCTCCCTGTTGCCCCGACCCTTTGATACAGTTCTTCATGTTGAGGTGAATTATTTTCCTTGCCACTTTATAACTTCAGTGAATATGTGTTTTCCGATGGTCTTAGGCGATCCCTGTGAAATGGTCGTTCGACGCCCAAAGGGCTCGCCACCCACAGGTTAAGAACCGCTGTCCTTTATATACTTATCTCAGAGGCGAGTAATGACAACGGAGCTTTCCCCAATCGGGAAGTACGGGAAAAGGGAAAAAAAAGGGGGGGGGGGGGGAGGGGTGTTACTCTGTTTCTACGAAGTAGCTAGTCATATTTTTATCGGAGAAACCAAAGAAACACATTTAACTATAAATACGTGTTTTGGTGTGTGTGTGTGTGTGTGTGTGTGTGTGTGTGTGTGTGTGTGTGTGTGTGTGTGTGTGTGTGTGTGTGTGTTTTCTGTCTGATTCTTCTTTTAATTACATGCATTTATTTTTTAACGAAGGAAAGGTTAATACATGAGTTAGAAAAGTGATGAACACAAAATGGGATTTATTCCAGAAGAGTAAAGAAAGAAGAGAAATAGCTTGGCAACCATTAGTATCACTTGTTATAAGATTGTGAGAATGCCCTTATATTGGACCCTTTCTCGGAAAAGACGAACCGATAAAACAGGCAGTGGAATTGGATATAGAAGGATTGTGGAAACGAGAAGTCCAACAGAACCCACGAGGGTGAACGTTGATAAAGTAAAGATAATTTTCAGGTCTTAGGCGCATCGGATATATGGAAAGAACATCCCATATTTTTACAGACCAATCGGCACTAGGCGGGTAATGTGGTCAGCATTACGCCGGCCGTCGTAACTTCCCCAGGACAACCATCCTGGTACCTATTTTAGGCTGGGTGGACCTGCGACGCCCCATACCATGATACAAATCCACGCAGCCAGCAGTGAGTTTCGATTGCGGTATGTTGGAATTACGAGTCGGACTCGCAACGCCTTAGCCACGGACTCCGCGTGAACGTTGATAAGAGAGACTAAAGCTGCTGGGCTAAATTCCATCCATAGTATCGAAGTGATTTTACAGGATAGAAAAGGATGGTGAAATAGACTACGAGCCCTATGTGACACAATGAGACAACAGGATAATTACTGAATAAATTAATTTTACGAGGACGATGAGAAAATAATGCCACGCCCCGGCCCTCTTACAACCCCCTCCCTCCCTCAAGTTAAGGTTAGGTGCGTATACTTTACAGGACGCTGCAGAGCCCACCCCTGCATTTTGTGTGTGTGTGTGTCTTTTGTGGTTTTGTAGGCAGATTGTACGTTCAGTAGTTTAACACTGCTTTCTGAATGGTTAGATTTGGGCTCCACTGTCGAAACCAGTGCAAGACAAACCGTCCGCAGCCGGGATCGAACCCGGCACGCCGGCATTACGAAGTGCTATCGCAACGCCTAAGCCACAGACGCCGACTTCACCCAGTAAATAAAGACAATAGAATCAATAAATTTTGCATGCTCATAATTTGATATCTCGGTATTTATTAAGGATCGGCATCTAATTCCGACAAACAGAGTGAGTGAGTGAGGTTTAACCCTCACCATGACAGCTCATCCAGTGAGTGAATTTCATACATTTTAACACAGATAGTTCGCCAGAAGAAAACAAATGAGGGCTATTACTTTCTGAACGTCCCTTGTATTCAAATTGTAAACTCAGAGCAGATGACCTGAGGTAAGAGACATCCAGGACCAACATTGTTGAATTCATGAAAATTTGCTGCCTACGCGCCGATTTATGGCGGCAACACAATTGATAATTTGAGCATATGAAACATGTGGCAATGAGAAAGAAGGCGAAATTGTAAACTTTTATTCGTCTGCTCCAATGTGCTATTTTTAAGTCCTTCTTCTTCTTCTTCTTCTTCTTCTTCTTCTTCTTCTTCTTCTTCTTCTTCTTCTTCTTTTTCTTCTCCTACACCTTGTACCTTATCGAAGTGTCAGGGGGGGGGGGGGGGAGGGGGGGGGGGGGGAAGAGAGGAATGTAATGTTCGTTAATGAGCACTATTTCTTCTTCTTCTTCACGTTCACCGGCTGTACACTCTGGCTGAAAGTTCTGGTTGTTCGTCCACTACTGAACTGCAGTCCTGCTCCAGAACCTGAGTGTTGCGT